AGGAGGAGGAGGAGGAGGAGGAGTGTTCACTGATATCCCTTCTCCAGCCTCGAAGCTTTCATTCCATGCTCTTGGCAGTAGCACTGCACAATCACACGAGAATGGCGAAGGGAGATCTAAGTGCATGACCCTAACCTGGCCACCCTATCCGGATTGACCTTTGCAAGGTGCAGACACCAAAATAAGTCTAGATGTTTGGTTGCAATTTTTCTTTCTATCTTTTCACAAATAATAGGCTCTTCTGACCTCTATTTGGGTAAACATGACTGGCTGATAAATGAGGATGTTCATTCAAACGAAGTCGGTGGATCAGCACCTATACACCACGACTGTCAACTTGAAAGATATTTCGTAGGCTTGACACGGTTTTGTCATCAGCATGGACTGACAGTGGTTGACAAAAAAGGCGCTCTGATTGGCCTCTAGACAAGGGATTTTTCTATTGGTTGGAAAAAACAGAGAAAAACATTTTCTACTTCATTCTCCCTCCATTTGTATTAGTAGCTGAACTTCAAGGTGGAAGAACCATCCGCAAATTTTTCTTCCCTTTTTCTCCTCAAAACAGCGGGATTAAAAAATAGACATTGAAAATGCTTTTTTGCAGCTCTACAAGGAAGGGTGGGATGTAGTTATGGATTCCATTAATGCATAAATTATTCTTTAAGAGTCCCGAAAATAAATTCTCTCGCCTTTATTGCGAAGATTTTATGGCACCTTAAAATATTCAAACAAAGTCACGAATGAGTGGGAGGAAGGCAAATTTTATTGCATTTTTCAGGTGAATTAGGAAGGTAACAAAGTGTAGCAGCCTCTCTTGGGCCGGTGCCCGGGTGAAATCGGGGCGGTAGACCTGACGGGAAGTTCAACTGCCACCTGTAAGGCAGACCCAACCTTGGTAAAATCTCCAGGCTCCATCTTTGGTTGGCATTCCCAGGAATGTTACATTCTGGGGGCAAGAGAAGTGACTCCGCTAGGTTACAGGCTTTCTGTTTTCGGGTACCACCGGAACTTGAGCGTATCCACTCAATTTGGAGCCACCAGAAGCACGACCAGTCAACGGATCACCGCCAAAGACAAAACGAACCTGGCTCTCCCAGGATGGCCAGACCATACTGACCAAACCTTCTGAATCGAAACTCTTTATAAACGCGCCTTGTTAGGGTTTTCCGCCCACATTTATGTAAGTTATTTATCCGCTAATGTAATTCTAAAGGTCAGTGATTATTTCCCCATTAATTCCCATCGGAAGCAAAATTTATTCCGAAAAAAGAAAATGAAAAACTACTGATGATGGTCGATGAGGCGAAGATACATCTTACACCGACTTTTCCCCTCACCTATTCACCCGACCGTAGCAGCCCCCAACCCCTTTGCAAGCTGGGCTAATAAAACGCCTTTATTTTAAAGCACTTTTTGAGGGATGAGATCAACTCAAAAATGACTTTTGCATAAGTCGCAAAAACTTGGTTTTGAAATGACAAAATAATAGTCGAATAATCAAATGCATATCCGCTGTCAAGCTCATTTTTGTTGCCAATATGTATAAATGTGCCTGTGTATGTGAGTGGGTGGGTGAAATGACCACAACTTGGTGTTTGATTATAGCCTGATTAACCAGATGCATTGTGTATGTACGCAATCTAATTGGCTGCTGCAGTCGACCAATTACAATGATCCAAATGATAGTACACGCAAGTGATTGCTCGCACACACAGCGGGAGCGATCGCACGAATTGTTTGAGAGGGCAACTTGCCTCACCCCAAGTCATTGACATCAGCCATGCAACTCTCAACATGAATGTCACTAATAATACCTTATCCTCAGAGCTTCTTCCGCCTCGTCCTTATGCCTACCTCTACGAGGAGCTGCGTATTTACTTCTTGCGATGGTACCTACCAGCCGCTATCATTGTTGGCTGTATGGGGAATCTATTTAGTCTCTTTTTCCTATTTTGCTCAAAGCTCTTCCAATTCAATATGCTGCTCTGGCTTTCCAGCATATGTATTGGTGACTTCTTCATCCTCATGCTAGAAGGGTTGTGGATTTTACTGAAGGCCTGGTTCAAATATGACATTCGTGATCACAATGATTTGATTTGTAAAATTCACAAGGCCGCTTCGAATTATTCTCTCTACTGGTCGGCTTATATGCAATTTGCGCTGTCAGTTCAACGCGCCTATCTGGTCTTCAAGCCGTTGCATGCTCGTATTCGTGGAGGCATCTCCAAGAGACACCTCGTTGCGTGGATTATGATCTCGCTTGTCCTCCTAGCTCCTATTGCTCCCTATATCATTTACTGGCGAGTAATCGACGGGGACTGTGATCCCACGGATACGGATATATACTACCTAACAACCCTCTGTGACCTAATCATATGGGGGATAATTCCACTGCTTGGAATGACAGTGTCTACTGCGGTCATTTGCCTCAATATGGCTAAATTGGGAAATAAATTCAAGAGAGCCCAAGTGGCAACTCCAGAACGATCGCGCAAGTTCTCCGTGTGTACTACACTCGAGATTCCATCGATTTGTCGCAGACGTGGGTTATCCACTCCAACACTAACTCCTGTACGACCCAATTCCACCTCAGACATCCAAATCCTATCGTCGCGTATCATGGATCATCTACAACAAGCAGATATGGTTGAATCACAGATAGAATTCCCCCCCTCTCAATTAAAACAACGACTCAGCGAGCACAGTAGCAGTCGACACAATGCACCAGACAACTTCGGCCATGTAACACGTCTCCTCATCTGTATGAATATTACCTATATGGCTAGCACATTCCCTCTCCTCATATTCCTTATGTTACGTAACTTCAGTGGAGTTCAGGTGGATCCCGATTTTCATCGATTCTGCTATTACCTATTTCGTAGTCTCTGCTTTCTAAATTCCTGTACAAATTGGATTTTCTATTGCCTCGTGGGCAAGTTGTTTCGTGAGGAGGCTAAACACATCCTCCGTATGTGCTGTGGCCTTCAACGCAAGGCGTCATCTCGAGGTCCCAGTAACCAATCAGGAAAGGCGCTAGTAACACCCCTACCGAGGGCACGCACACCCGAGATGAGTCATCAAGCCTCACCGATAGAACGGATTCGATCAATAAGCGCAATCGATATTCAGCGTGTTGCAACTCGGGTGCCCACTCGATAAGAACTTTTTCAATTTTTGTTGATTACTGTGATACTGACAAATAAAAGGAAAGAAACAATGCTGCATTAATTTTTTAGGTTTTGTTTTCGCATTTGTTGGCATATTTTTAAGCCCTTTTTTGCAAGGAAAAAGCAACTCCTTTTAAGTCGGCGGGGGGATTTTATTTTCTCGTTAAATTTCACGGTCTCGGAAATCACTCCGGCTGCATTTTGGAGTCTGCGAGCAAGGAAGAAATAATAAGAGGGTGAAGGTCTCATATCTTAAATAAGGCAAAATAAATAGAGGTTTGGAGATTTCTCTTTCTTGTTGCTGTAATATCTTACAAAAACTGGTAAGGAATATTTGACCATACTTAGGTAATTTGGTAATGAATAATTCGTAAGTATATGCCTAGTTCTTAAGGAATTTTTATATTTATTTGCAGAATTCAAAATTCTACAACAAGTATGCAGCTAGCTGTCACCTGCTGATAACGAACATATGTCACATATTTGTGACGTCAGAGAGGTAGAAAAAGTTGTTATATAGGTAATTAATGGTCAAAAGATTGAAATACTTAAGTATTCGACTAATTTTTTCCTGAAGGAAAGACGCTAACAAGTATGGAGACCAATTGCTACTTAACAAAATGGATTCCCCACGAAAGTGGAGCGGTATCTTCCTCCCTTCCACATCCTAGTCTAACTCAAAACATTTCATCTCAAGGGTTACTTTTGCGATGTTTAGCATAAAAGGCCTTGAGTCGTTCTGCAGGTGAAGGAATCCCCCTTCCTCTCCCTCCTCTAATTTGTCCGCCTAGGGTATTTCTCAAGGGGACTTTTTTCTTGAAAAGCTTCCACCGACATTTAATGCGGAAGATTTCAGCAAATAACAACTCCTAGCGATGAATTACGCCTTCAGTCCATCGTATACCCGACGCTGAAGAGCTATTACCTTCTGCTGATGAGGCGATGGACGTCCTAGAAGTGTGGGGTGAGCAGTGGGTCGTTCGGAGGTCGATTGCTTCACAAACCTTAATTACAAGCCAGTTGAAATAACCGTTTGATTATCTTTGAAACTTATTGTCCTCTGTTTACGTGCAACATGTGACACCTGTTTGCCTAGATTTCGCGACTAATTTCAGGGTAAACAAAGGGCAGTTTTAACCAATTTAACTATAACTAAAAGCTGAAGTTTATGACAGGTTAACTTTTAAAGAAGTACTCGAAAAATTCTCTTTCTTCCTCTGTGAGTAATCAACTATTCTTGCTGTTGTATTTGTCCAGAAATTACTCACTCCTTTGATCATTCCTACCCGTCTAACAGAACTGTCATTAACGGTAATCTGGCCAGCCAAATGGGCAGACGGTGATGGAGTACGGGGTATGGCAACTTCAAACGAAGTCGCAATTACTCCATTAAGGGAATACCGGTGAGTTAAAGCTTGTTAGCACTTGGTTCAGAAAAATCACCAAAACAGTTAAACGCCTGCTCGAACTTCACAGCATTCGAGGCAAAATACGGAATAGCTGATGAACCACCGAAAGAGAGTAAGAACCCAGGCAATTTTATAGTTCCTTCTTTCATTTTACCTGTATTTACAGTGCCCCTCCGCTATCATTTGCAAAGTTATTTCTCTAAAAATGTTTAATTCCAGGAAAGGGAATAGAATGAGATTAAATCCCATTCTAGGCCGAAGTCTACTTATTACGCTAGTAGTAGTATGTGGACATAGCTAGAATTATTATTCACAAGAAGACTTTTTTCATTTTTTCTTTCCATAGTGATATACAGTCAGCAACATATTTTTATAGCCCACTAGTGGTTACCTGATACAACAAGAAACTGAAGAGGTACCCCCATAGATGTCACTCTAAACCTTCTTTTGTAATGCTCCACAGATCCCGCTTCTTTCGATCTTTAAACCAGTAAAATTTTATATTTTTTTGGTTCTGCAGAGCACTTCGGCTCATAGCTGGCAGGAGTACCGAACTTCTAGTTGTGTCTAGAGACGTAAAAAGCCATAAAAAGAGGGCAGAGAGATTTATTGTTGGCTCACAGAATAACCGACAGGCTGCTATAGGCCTTGGCGTACCATTTATCAAAAAAGTACACGGTTAAGGCTTTTTTAGAAAAAAATATTCTGCTATTTTTTCACAAAATAATCATCAATCTGTTTTTGACGGCTAGAGGCATGTTTGAATTAGTGTCAGGTACGAAACATTCCCAAGACTTAGTCAAATGATGCAGACTGTTTTTCTTAAATAAGGGATAATTGGCCTGATCAAAACCAAAACACAGACAAAACTGGTCACGGCAGAAGGCCTAACAATTGTAGTGATGGTGACCTCAAGAAGTACACATGTTCAGATAGCGTGGAATTGTCGGACGGATTAAATGAAATTTTGTGGATGTGGAAGGCGTCATGCAAACTCAGTGACACGACTACGGTGGCGTAGAAACAGCTAGCCTGATACGATGGACAAGTTGAGAATGAAGACCAGCAATCTCTCCGTGAATTAGGTAAACATACATACAAGGTTGTCCGCGTTGGTGGAGTGTTCTCGCCCCTGTCTCTAATGGATATTGTCATGATGGCAAAAGGCTGGTCGAACGGCCAGTAGGTTTATGTTCACAAGGTGCCACAATGTGAGGGTCTATCACTACTGCCTCATTTCGACGAAGCGAGCCTACTTCAACGGTTCACTCGGTACCCCCGTTAATGTAATGTGGTGTTGGCCACAGGTTCTCGTCTCCTTTCTCGCCGTCTTCTCCCAGTCCTTTTCAATCCCTCTCCATTATTTTAAGCTTTTTGAAACCAAGAGGCGAGTCTATTCCCACCTTCCCGACTTTCGAGTCAAGAGGAAGATGAAAGTCACATACCCATTAAATACACACGGACGTACTGAGGTGACACACGTCAACACACAAGCTGCAGCACCAGTAGAAGATCATAAAGTGGGCTGAACCATTTCCTTGTCCATCCAATATTTGATCTAACAAATAACCACTTCATTCTGATGAATAAATGAACTAACCAAAGTCCACGTTTGACGTTTGGCATCTGACATCGTTGACACAATATGGAGGAGGTTTCAATGGCACTTTTCTATTCTATGGTGAGATTTAAGCAAGTCGTATTGTACGTCCATGCCATGAAAGTTATTCACAAAAGAAAGTCGAGAGAAAAAGGAAAAAAATGGGGCCAAATAAAGGGATTAAGTGATCCACAAACTGGGCAGGCGAAGAAATGAGGAGGCTAACGGGAGTTGTTGTGACTAATAAGAACAAACGAATTCCATGCCATTGTCTGTCTACATCTGTTTGCGTGTGTATTATGAAGCACTGGTGGTGGATTCGCCGTCGTCTATCGACACAGCATTGTTTAATTGCTCTACTCAACTCCCTTTCCACTACTTCCACTGTCACCTTCTTGGAGGGTCTACTTGAAAATACGAGTTTTCTCCTGTGGAACATGGTGCTGCGCCTTCTTGTTGGATGTGCTTTAATGCACTGGAAGAGGATGCGGAATGGGGTGTGCGGGCGGAGGAATCCATCCTCTAGAAATGGTGTAAACATTACGGACCAGGTGACGGATCCCCCTTTCCCTCCTTCTCTCCACCTCTATCTCCCTTTGCGCTATTGTTCTTGCTGCTCTGCTTCTCGTGGTCTTCCACCTACTTCTCTCTCTGTGAGGTAGTCGGGAATGTTAGGACTACCTCTACTGCAAGAGACCAATTTCTACGATGGCTTTCTATCACTTCTTTTAGTCACTTGTCAAATATCGACAGCTCATCATGTCCAGATCAATGTCTCATTTGGAGAACATTTCATATGCTGTTCATTACATGGCGAAAAATTTTTCCCCAAAGAGGGTTTCACATCTTCAAGGAGCTAGGCTTTAGTATCCACTACTTCTTGAAGCTTCAGCCATCCATCCAATCGTGTTCCATTCAACCAAAAGAGGCGGAATAAATCGACTTCTTCTTAACCTAAAATATGGGAGGTTACACAAATGTAGACTTGGACAATCCTTTTGCTGTGAGTCTCCACTTCAGCAGTCATCTTGCTGTTGTAGCCGGAAAACCTCCAGTGGTTGAAGGGCCCACATTAATAGCATCAGATGTGGACCAGCCAGCCACTCGAGAGTAGACAGGTGGAATAAATAGATAAGGAATTTGCAAAGCACATGTCGACATTTTTTGTACAATTTCCCCTTCCATCTTGTATTCAAAATTGCAGAATCAGAAAGTAGGACAGAAGGGGGGGAGGAAACAGTGACAGCTGGTTTGAGAAAAGGGAAGGGGGGGGGGAACTGTTATTACACCCCCTGGGAGCGCCATAAAGTGGCCAAAATAATGGGCATTGCCCTGGCAAATGCGATGGTATCGCATTATTGTTGCAATAGCCTCGGTCAGGTAATTGCAGATGAATAAAAATTTCTCCCTTTCAATCGTGTTGCCACCTGCTAAGGTGTACGTTTGCAAACTACTTGTCAAACGTGGCAAATAATTGTCTATTCAGGGGAGGGGTGGGGAGGAGAGACGTGGGGAAAAGGGATATCTATCACCTGGCCCTTATTGGCTGGACCATTTCTGGAGGCCGAATTCTCCCACGGCATTCCACTTACCGCATCTGACAAGAAGCTTCTGCACCTTTTCCAACGTGATAAACTCGTTTGGTCAAGCAGACAAGTCGAAAATCCTATCCATCAGATTAGTTCATCTGACACTCCTAAGAGGTGAGAGTGAAAGTGATTTGTGAGAGAGCTGGGCAGGACAGATGCCAAATGGGCAAGGTCGTGTCGATAGACGGAGGCGAACCCACACCGCATTTGCTACATAATGCATGTATTCATGGAATTCACTTGTCCTTAGTAGTCACAACAGATCTCTTCAGCCATATGTATCAAAAATCACACAGCCATCTCAATTTCTTCGTCTCTCTAGTTTGTAGACCAATTTAATCCTTAATTGCCCCCTTTTTTCTTTCATTTTCACGCAGACTCTCAGATCTCACAA